CAGGGTCAGGGATATAACTCAGTGGCACAAGCGCCTGCCTGGCAAGTGCAAGGTCCTGAGTTCGATTCCCAACACAAAGAAAAAAAACCCTGAAGTATAAATAATTTAAAGAGCAAAATAAAAAAAATAATGACAGGAAACAAGAAGGTAGACACTTTGCAAATGAGAAGGGCATCTAGAGGTGGAGTGAGGGACCTGAGAGAGGAGCAGAAAGGGAAGTAAAAAGGATGAAGATGAGATATGTACAGGTACAAACTCCCTGGGATAAATGTATTCATTATGTATTGCAAATATGTACTAATAAAAAATTTAAATAAATTAAAACTTATGAATAAAATAGCCATATAGTGGAAATATCATTCAGCAATAGAAAGGACCAAAGTACAGATACACGATTGTGACGTGGATGAGCCTAGGAAATATTGTGCTAAGTAAAAGAAGCCAGACACAAAAGCCACGTATTAGAAGATGTTACGTATATTACATGGCCAGCACAGGAAAATCCACAGAGACAGAGGTCGGGCAGTGGCTGTCAGGGGCCAGGATGACGAATCACTCCTACTAAGGGAGTGGCTGCTACAGCCTGTGAAGCGTCTCTGCAGGATGAGGAGAATGTTCTGGGGTTGGTGGTGACGACTGCACAGTGCTACATAGTCTAAGCACTAGATCATTTGCTCTACTTCAAAAGGGTGGTGACTTTACAGTACACAAATTACATGCAAACAGATTTATTTTTATTTAAAAATATGGAGTTTCATGATTTTTAGGTTTCCCCCTATCAGAGAAGAGGAAGGAAAATAGCTGTGAAACTCAGAAACAGGAATATCTGGGATCCAGGGTGATTATCTTCCTGTTTCCCTCACTCTTTATAAATTCTCTTTTCATTCTTTGGTTCCTTAAAATGCTGTTTTAAAAATAAATCTCCTGCTATTTCTTGGCTAGGACTCATTCTGTTTTAGTCTTCCCCTCTTCTCTACCTATTTTCTTTTGCTCTTATGTAATTAACCTCTGTTTTAACTCTTCAAATGCAGCCAACCTTGTAAGCTGAGAGTACACTCGTGTAACTAAGTCTATGGGTGTTTTTACGTACATTTGTGCCTAACTATACTCGTTTGCATAGCAGTGAGGACAAGCATGCTTCAAAGTGACTCTGTGCCCATACATGAATTTTCATGTCAAATACTTAATTGGGGCATCGGGGGTGTCACTCACTGGTACAGTGCTTGCCTCACAGGCCTCAGGCCCTGAGTTTGATCACCAACACCACAGATTTTAAAACTTTCTTAGCTGGAAACATTGTAAGGATAAAACTCAGAGAAAATCATGGTTTTTATGAATGGCAAGCAATACACCAGTGTACCGGTGCTTTTTTAGGCTGTCAAAAGACCTTTCATTTTTCTGGTATTACTGGCAGCATTTGTAACAAACAGATGGAGACTGCTAGGGCAGCCTGTTATTATGAATATCTATGATCACAGTCGGCTCAGTTATGCTGTCTGCCTCATTCGGTAATTCAGATTTTTAAATGAAAAATCTTCCTCAAATTCCATGAAAATACAAAAAGAAGGAAATTCACTCTAATACTCAAGGCTGGAGGGAATAAGACTAAAGATGGTTATGATTTCTGAAAACAGAAAGTGGGTGAGACAGTAATGATAGCTATCGGGAGCAGAAGCCACACCTGAGATTCCCCCAAAGGCAGTTAAGTGGAGGAGAAGATGCTCCTCCAGGCGGAGCCCCAGAAAGTTCCCAGCTCACTGTTAGCCAATACAGAGGGAAGGAATGAGCTGTGTGTAACTAAGGACACCTCTTTTCTAATGACCTTTGTAACTGTTACAGTCATCACCACCACAGCCGCACCTGATCCTCACCAAAACTGCCCCACCTACAAAATCACTATGGAGACAAGTCATACTCCAGAAATGACACTGGACCTGCAGAACCGCATATGGAAGATTTGTGACAATTTTCATATGAAAATAGTGGGGATAATTGTCCAACCGCACATTAGTCAAATAAATTGTGGCACATCCATGCAAGGAAATTCTATCCATGCAATTAATGTTGCTATTATTATCGCTTCATTATTTGGATGAGTATAATTGGATCTATCCCACATCACATAACAATATTCATATATAAATATATGTTCATAGAGATATATATGTCAAATAGACAAAGAGACAGATTTAAAAGCATACAGGAGTAGAAAAAGATCAGGAGACTATGAAATCTTGAATTGGAAACTTTCCTAAGCACAATGCTAAGAGCAGAGATCATTAAGGGAAATACACACATCAAAAACCAAAAGTAGCATGGAAAAAAAGTTAAGAAGAAGATAAATGGTTAACTAAGAATAGTAGGTGCAATACACATGGTATCCTAGTATCCCAAATATCTAACAAGTTCCTACAGATCAATTTTTCACACTGTACATATTCCCAGTTCAAAAGGACCAAGAACATGAATAAGAACTTATTAAAGAAAAGATGTAACGAAGTAAAGAAACAGAATAAAACAAATTAGATATTGATTAATAGTTTTAATAGACAGTTTTTTAAAAGATATTACAGAAGACTGTAAAGAGTATCATTCCAAATATGTGAGGAGGAAAGGCAGAGAAAAACTATAGGAAATACTGTGAAGGTAAGGCTTTCTGCCTATTATACTCATGCTAGAACGGCAGTTCCTGAACCGGGGGTTGGACACCAGTATGATCACTGTATTTATCACTGGGGAAGGAAATACAGGTATCTACTCCATACAATGAATATGCATTTATTTTCTTAGCAGAATACAATAATGGATATTACATTTAAAGCAGAGAACACCTTAGGACATTATTTCAAAATATATAACTGGCACCTTTGTCACACTTTTGGCTCTTTTCGAGCATTACTTAATTTAGTGATTTTTTTTCCAGGACTGAGTAGAACTAATTCACTTTAAACTTTCCAAATCAGAAATTTATTTATCTTTTCAAAACTATGCCAGTTTGTTAGAGTAAGGCAGCAAGAACAAAGAATGAAAGACAACAAGTAATACCAGATTTTGCTTCCTTTTACAACAGAAATACACAACAAGGTGATGTGAGGGAGTGACTGGAGTCGACAGCACACGGTATCTTAGGTCCTTCAGAACACCTGGGGGCATTTAGGAGAAGCCCTAGAGGCAGGGAGAGCAGAGTTCTCCATCACTGAGGCTCAGCCCTGGCAGCTGGGGAAGAAATGGATTTCCACTGGAGAGAACAACTAATGTGCAACCCATGTGGCTGAATTACAAAGAGGATAAAACAGTACCTAGTGAATTCGGAGGTGAATATTGAGCAATTTGTAAGCCCCAGTGAGGCACTGGGACCTTATACTGAGTGCAAAGGGAACTTCTAAGCTGGTTAAAGACAGAACAACATCTAAAATATGCTCCTAAAATTCTCAGAACCTTTCAAATTAAAGCGTAGGTTTAAACTGCTCACAGAGTCTTCCACATCTAGTACTTAATAAGCAAAAACTTTTTAAACATAAAGGTCTATAAGCCAGATGTGGGGGTGCATGCATGCCTGTAATCCCAGCTCTGAAGGAGGCTGAGGTAGGAGGAATGCAAGCTCTAGTTTCACCTGGGCAACTTAGCAAGATCTTGTCTCAATATTAAAAACTGAAAAGGGCTGTGGGTGTAGCTCAGTGGCAGAGCACCACTGAGATTGAGCCCGTGTGTGTGTGTGTGTGTGTGTGTGTGTGTACGTGTGTGTGTATATATATAGAGAGAGAGAGACAGACAGACAGACAGACAGACTTGCTTCATCTTTCTTAATGTCTAACCAGGACATAGTGGAAATGAGGGAAGGTGCGGGGGCTAGCTCCTTCTGAGGAAGTACAGTTCCAGAGTTAGAACTGAGAGCTGGATCCAAGGGCTGGCATCTTCTGTGATGACTGGTCAGACCAAGGAAGGGACAGCAATGGAAGGAATAGCCAAAGAAACAGGAGAAGCACAAAGAGAATATGATACCATAGAAGCAATAAGAAGGAAATACAACAGGATGAATGGAGTGGTCTCCTGTATCAATTGCTGCTCAGTGACTGAATAAATGAAAACAAAGGAGTAGCTGCTGAATTTGGCAAAACAAGGGCTTGTAACTTGACAAGCAGTTTCAACGGAATGGTGAGGATAGAAGCAAGAATGAATTTGGTGTGTGATTTATAAAGTTCAATAGATAAAAAACAACTAGTTGCTTTGAAGAAGTGTAATCCTTCTAAGTACTGAGACCAGAGATGGTTTCTCTCGAGACCTCTTATACCCAGAATAGAAGGTCATATACAACATCCTCAACTCTATCTCTACAATAAATGCAAGTTTAACAGAAATGCATTTCAATAGTGGGTGCCAGAGGTATTACAGAGGGTTTTCTTTATTGGGTGAAACACCAGGCTGAAGTTTTATATTAATCCGTTTTCTCATCACTGAATCACAATACCTGACGCCCACAAGTTAAAGGAGAGGTTTGATTTGACTCACAGTTTGGAGGCATTCAGTTGACAGTTAGCTGGCTCCCATGCAGAGGCATCAAGGCGGGAGGACAGCTAAGATGTTTAATTTGTGGCAATTGGGAAGCAGAGCAGGGTACCGTGCCAGAGAGGAAGGGCAGAGGGACCAGATGTAAACACCAGTGCTATGCCTTCATAACCCACTCAGATACACCTATGAGTGTGCTGTACCAACAGTTCAGGTGGACCCCAAATCCAGGCAAGTTGATACTCCCCCCTAACCACCACAGTAATTATTTTATTGGAACATGGTTCTTCCATAAAATAATTACATATAATCATAAAGGATCAATGAAACAAAGTACAGTCCTTTCTGAGTGTAAGGGTCTGTTAATGCTAAGAAATCCTTTTCCTGGAAAAGATCTATACATGTCTTAAGAAGTCATCTTGTGGTGACCATAATCTAACATATAAACTAAATTAAGCATTTGTCATCTCTAGGAGCTAAAGGGAATGTGGGAATGCCAATTAATTTTGAATAAAGGACTAAAAGAGAAGACCCATGAATATTCTCTTTTAAAAAAAAACTAAGTTTACACATTTCAAGAAAGTTTATAAAGAAAATCAAGGACAACTGGAGAAAAAGTGATTTTTCAGAGGCCTTAGACAATTGGGCATGGGAGCACCTCAAGCGATGTTTGCAAGTCTGACTCCATCATTTCTAATAAAGAAGCTGAGCTTTGATCAGTAACCTGCTCTGCTCTTTAGGGAGCCTGACTTCCCTGGCTTTCTTTTTGTTGTTGTTGTTTTTTGTTTTTCTTCCAATACCAGGAATTGAACTCATGACCTTGAGCTTGCCAGGCAGGCGCTGTGCCGCTGAGCTAAATCCCCAGCCCTGGCTTTCTTACTCTAGCACAAATTTTGCAGAAAAAGGCTTCCCAGGTATCCCTGAAATAATATTCACTCTCTACTAAGTTAATTAAGCAGTTAATAGAAAAAAACACACTGATAACTTAAAATTTAATACCATTTTAAGAGTTACCAAACATCAACTATTCTCAAACAGTCAGAGTGCAGGCTGTGAGGTCAGGCCAATGGGAGTCTCGATCTCTGTAACTCTCTAACCACAGGCAGTGAATGTCATGGGTCTTCAGTTTCATCTGTAAGGTGGGGCAAGTAATAGAATATTCCTCACAGTGCTACAGTGAAGAGTACATGGGACTTTTAGTAAGTCTTCAGAATCTTGAGACGTCTTCTTCCTGAAAATGGTGACCATAAAAAGCAAGAGGCATTTAACACCCCTAATTTCCTAATACAGAAACTTCTAGATTGGGAGCCCCCACCATCTTGCCACACTTTGCACTGTAGTAGCCTCCCTTCCCCATAGGAAAGCACATTTGAGATGTGCAGTGTTCATGAAGAAAAACATTCCAGTGGTTTCTTGCTCCAAAGATGTGATGGAAAAGTTGGGGGCAATGTGTAAACCAATGTCTTTAGCCCAGTCAGACATCACATTATCTGTGAGTTACCATCATTTATCTAACCAGGCCTGGAGAGCCGAAGAGGAATGAGGTGTGGTGATGGACTCAGAGCTACCCCATGCAAGCCCTCTTCCAGGGAGCACTAGTTACCCCACTGTTGAGAGTACCGACAGCCTCCTGGCATCCATCAGACAGCAGGAGTTGCCTCAGCTCAAGAAGCTGCCTTTCCAGAATGACCCATATGCAAAGACAGATCATGGAGGGACTGGATGGAGAATGCTGACCAGCCATCTTCCTCCAGAAGTTCCGGGGTGGGGCGGTATCTGAGGCTATTCCACTTATACTGCAGCTTAAATCCCCTCTCCTTCTCATGGGATTCTATCTCAGCACACTCCCTGATAATATAGACACTGTACTAAACCCTGTCTCGGTGTCTGCTCTCAAAGAAACTACCTCATGACAGAAATGATTCTGACCCTGAGGAATTCCAAGTTTATTAATTAGAGCACCCAACAAATTCAAACACTGCTGCTCTAACCCATCCCTAACATGAGGTGAACAAGCCATAGAGCAATGTGCAGTGAAATATCACCCACCCATTAGAAGTAATATTCTTGGTGCTGAGTATGACACACAGTGGCTCCAGAAGGAAGGGAAGAGGAAGGCAGAAAAAGGAAGAGGGGAGCTGGACATCCCCAGGTAACCACTTGAGCCCCTCTTTGCCTGAGTTTCTCCCCATATGATTGTTTCCATATCTCTCACTCTTACTTAGTCTTTGGACCATCCATAGCATGAGCACCACGTGGGCAGTTACTCCTCCTGTACTATCTACCTCCAGCACCCCTGCTACAGCAGATGCGAGTTACAGAAACTAAAGCTGGATGAGACCCTAGGCGGCAGACTGGCACCAGCATCCCTAGGAGAAATGAGAAGTAACAGGCCTTTTCATATGCAAAGGCAGAAGCGATGATCAAACGACAGTAATGAAACAAATCTAATAAAAATAAAAGCAGAACCCTGAGGTTGTATTCTAGTGGTAAAGTCGTCTTAGGAGGAATCCAAAGAAGTAACGAGCCAAGCCCTGTCAAGGCACTTCCAAGGGTCAGAATCGCCAGCTCCGAAGCAGCTGCAAGCTGCTCACAGGGCTTCCTGCAACTCACTCTGCTCAGAGAGGCAGGTTCAGACAGCACCGGCTCAGCCCATGTGAGAAGCCTCCTCCCAATCACAGACCACTGGCCTCTGGACAGCAGGCTCAGGGAATTGCTGCAGGGTAGAAAAGCACCTTGGGCTGGCGAGGGCTGCAGACTGGGCTGGTGCAGCACCAGAAGGAAGAGGAGGAGGAGCGGCAGCTGTGAGTAGACTGATTTCATGCTTAGAGAGGCTGGCCGAGTGCTCGAAGGTTGGGTTGCTTTCCTGGGAGTGCAGCTAGCGGACTGCAAGGAAAAGAGGGAGACATTAACAGAATTTGTCACTTATAATTTAGGATGTTGCAGTTGCTCTGCTCGATCATACTCTGACCCATACAAATTGTTTTCTTAAAACCTTTGATGTCATTGTCCTGTACTCAGAACTGAGATTGAACTTCTGGGAGTGTTAGGTCTACTGATGCCAACCTTAAAATTTTCTCCACAGAAAGACCAAGAACCTTGAGGAAGCCCCCTGTACCCCTAATTAACTAACACATGGACAGACACCTTGATAGACACCCTCACTTCCTGGGTATGGAGCCAGAAAAGCAACAGAAAATGTAATGGTCATGTTCTTTCTTAATCACCGTCCTTTAGCCTGAGAGAGAGAAAGCTTCCAGATCTTGTCAGAAATTGTTTGGTCTTGCCAAGTCATAACGGGATTTATGGAGCAACTCACTGATGGTTCTTCTCCACAGAGTTCTGTGTAATAAATGTGCCAGTTGAAATAAGGCAACAAATTACCTTGATTTACACAATGTTTTTCTTGCATGATTTATTTTTACTCCACACCAGTTACTTGATTCATTATGCTCCACAGGTCCTAAACATGTTTTTGTTCTAACATTTTTACACAAAATAGTAAGTTTCTAATCATGCTAGAGTTATGTATAATTATATTTTGGTTTATGTTTGTAAGATTATACCCCCACTTCTAGCTAGCTTTAAAGATGTTTAAGGTATTTAAGAATTTGTGTTAATTTTAATGTCTTTTTCAAACTGATAATGATGTTTACTGACCATTTCTTGCCTGAGTAGAGGTGATGAGCTCAACAGGAAGAAACTCACTTGATTTTTTTAATATATTTTTCAGTTATATGTAACTGATTCTGTAGTTTTCAAACTTTGTGAGGAAATTGTTTTTTCTCTTCATTAACCATCCCAATGAGGAAATAATTTTCTAGTTTACTTTCTGCTTACAATACACTGATTTGCTTTCTGTTGTAATAGGTGGAAAACCAATTTATCTTTTTTTTCTTTTTTTTTTTCAATTTATTCTGGGAAGACTCACAGACTTTTAAACACAAAGCGGACCTTAGATACTGTTGAGTCGAGAAAAACAAATGAAATGTCAGAATTTCTTTTCTGTCTCCCCTGCTTGCATTCTTTCTTTCAGTTTGTGTTTTTATTAGTGTATATTTGCAGGACATGATGACTACATTCTTCATGGGGACTCGGTCCATGTACAAAACACAGCTCAAGGGTCTGGGGATTTAGCTCAGTGGCACAGTGCCTGCCTGGCAAGCGTGAGGTCGTGAGTTCAATTCCCGGTACCAGAAAAAAAAAAAAAAAAAAACCACACAGCTCATTTTTTTTATCCCCTTCGCCTCCCCTTATCCCCACTCCCTCCACCTCCTGGCCCTCTTCCCATTTGAAAAACCATCCATCTCCCTGCCTCCTGTTATCTTTTATTTTGCTTCTTATTTATACTTTGGGCTTCTCATGTAAGAAAAACCATGCGGTATTTAAGCTTGTGTGCCTGATTTACTTCACGTAACATTAGGGATTCAAGGTGCGTTGGTTTTCCCACAAATGACTCAAGTTTCTCTTTCTCTACGGCGAACACCAGTGAGCCCTAGACTGCTGTACCCTGCTCCGGAATCTAGGCCTGAGGGCCATGCAGGTTACTCACAAACCTGACGGGCACCACAGCTTCACTGGGACAGAGAACACATCACAAGGAGGTGCCCTGACCTAACCTCCCCGCAGTGTCCCCACCGTGTTCCTGCCCAGGGCTGTGCTCCCCGCTGGCACTGCCCACGCTTGTGAGCATCCCGCCCACTGCACACCTAGTCCGTGATTTCCCATGGTGGGTGACTGTGATCATCACAGGGAACCTAGAACCTAGAGCGCTCTGTCATAGAATCTCCCGTGACTCTGGAAATGTTCTAGATGACGGCCACCACTACCGCATGCGGGTGGAAGGTGCCTGAAATGTGGCTAGAACGACCAAAGGACTGGATTTTGGCTTTTACTAAACTGAATTCATTTGACTTTAAATACCTTCACATAGCTACTAGTTACCATATTGGTCCTTGCAGGTAGAGAGTTTTAAAGCAAAAAAATAAGCAAATATATAAATAAAGCTGGTGGGACCTGGGACATGTGAGTGTCTCAGCCATGAGAATAAACTCTCTTTCCATCCTCATCGGGGACCCATCCCACCCTAAACTTAAACTGACATCAATTGTCTGATCTAAAATCTCCACACCCATCTTTCGTCGTACAACTGTCTGCCCTCATCCTCCGCTTCAGGCTCAGAGCTAAGGAAGCAGCATAATATGTTTCTTATTTCTTCCTCTCCCATTTATCGTTTTGTTGTTGTTAATTCAGATTTCTCTGGCATGAGTAGACTTTGAGGTGTGGGTGTGTTCTCTAAGTGCGCAAAAAAAAAAAAAAAAAAAGATAACTTGGGTAAGGACAAGAGGTAATGAACCTGAAGAGGTGATCTCATGCTTGGTGGGGGGAGTCTTGCTTCTTTTCTCTTCTGCTTTGAAAAGTGGTTTGTTTAGTGAGCAATTGTTTTGAGACCTATTCAATGTGTCTGGAAACATCAGCGTTCTGGATATGAGTAATTTTTATAAGAAAACAAACTGAATGAATGCACAAGGAAAAAGAAAAAAGAAAAAAGTAAATCTCTCTAGCCTTAAAAAAATTCTGCACTTGTCAAAGCAAAGAAACTCCCAAGGTGTTGAGCAATCTGAGTACATCGTCACGGTGCCAGGTCAGGGGAAGATTTTTCCACAAGGTGGGGCTCCCATGGAAAGCATTTAGGGTGAACTGCCCTCTTTGGTCTGCAGCAATCTGACACCTAAAGTGGACAGTCACGTCTCTGCTCTAGGCCTGCTGCCAGTTCTCACTTTTTAAGTCCTCCTTATCCCATCGGTCCCCTTTCCAGCCCAGCCAGGTAAAGGTAGCTCTGCATTACATACCAAAAGACAATTTCAGAAGAACTTGCATTTGAAACAGCCCCTAGTACTGTGGGCTAAGAGAAGCGCAGGAAGGAGAAAGGATCACATCACTAAGAGTCCGTCTCCACTCACGGACAGGGACAGTAGTTAAAGCAGAGGCCTGACCACAGGTCCTCTCTCCCTCCCCTCCCTTCCTCTCTTCTCCTCTGTAGCGAGAGCTGATGCCCTTTCATGCCATAGACAGGCATATGGCCAAAAATGACTCCAGGGTAAATGATACCTTAATTCCTCCCAAATTACCTATCTTCCTAGTAAAACAAAAGCTGCCAGAATGTGCTATTGACACTCAATCTTAAAATTTATCATTTTGCTTCTTAAATACAATGCTTCACCATATACTAATAAAAATTTAAGAACATGATTCTTTTGTCAAGGTGACTTTTTAAATGTATAGCCATCTGTTCCTTTGTGGGTCTGGAGTAACTTTAAATGAATTTGGGTAAAGAAGAGAGGTAATAAAGTATCAGGCTAGGCTAACGATGGCAGAGGCTAATGACACAGGAGAAAAACCAAACAGCGTATCCTCCAAATAGGACCTGGCTTTACTCCCCTGGAGAAATACTTGCTCAAAACGGGGGGCAGGGGGAGTCGGAAGGAAGGAAGGGTAATTCTGGACAAGGGCAGTTTTTAAGCAGAGGAGTAATATAAAACCAGAGTCCAGAGTTCTGCTTCAGGACAGTAGATCTCAAGACTGATTAAATGGTTGGCAATTAAAAGTCTTGTTTGCTGGGTGTGGTGGCACACACTTGTAATCCCACCATTCAGGAGGCTGAGGCAGGAGGATCCCCATGAGTTTGAGGCCAGCCTGGGCTATATAATGAATTCAAGGCCAGTCAGAACTATACAGTGAGACCTGTCTCAAAAAAAAAAAAAAAAAACTCTTGTTTATGGAACACTACAAAGTATAGGTATGCCAAATTTAAAATAAGATCATTATACATTTATAGCATACATTTGTAGGATAAACCAGATCCTAGGATACATAGCACTTCAACTTTAAGAGAAAATTATGAGAGAAAAATGCTTAAAATCACAAATTTTGATCAGAAGTTTTTCTTCAAATTAGGAAATGACTGGAATTATTCAGTTTTGCCCTTGAAACATATTGCCCTGTGGATTGAACTTCTGTGCTCTATAGGATTGTTTGAGAACTTCTACTTTTAAAAGTTCACTTGCAAAACTCTGTGAAGAATGGGAACACAAATTATTGGATTCATTAGAGCCAGAAGTTTGTGGCTGGCTGTGGGAATTAGAAGGAAGGAGTAAAATGGTCTCAGGACACATCAGAAAATAGTTTTCCTTCTATTAAAAATATAAACCCATCTAACTTAGGAGGGTGTATTAGGGTTTGCTACAGAAATACACATATATAATGCATATATAATATATAGTATACATATGTACACAATAATTATAATGTATATTGCACGTATGTGTGCATACATGGGGGGGAATTGATTTATCTTAAGGAATTGGCTCTTATGATTTTGGAGACTGGTATGTCTGAATCTCTACAGCAGGTCAATAGCCTGAAAGCTCAGGGAAGAGTTGATACTGCAGTCTTAAAACTGAATTCTGAAGGGTTGAGGGAGGAGAAAAGCAGCAAAAAAATAAAAAAAGAATTAACATGTGCTTTGTACTTGTACAAATCCTCCAGGATTAATGTTATCACTATGTACCGTAAACATGCACTAGTAAAAAAAGGCTAAAATCTGCGCTAAACTCAGACAAGTTTACATGTTGCTGTCCTGTAGCAGAACTGCTTCTTTTTCAGGACACATCATGTTTGATCTTAAGGCCTGCTGTTGATTGGAGGAGCCCCTTCACATGGTGGAAGGTATTCTACTGATATAAATGTTAATTACATATAAAAAACTAACTTAACAGCAATACAGAGACTGACAACCAACAAA